GCGATGGAAAAGAGTGTCACTCTGTAGCGCACTCTCCGTAACGCAACGCCTTTACCAAGATTTCAAACATTTACAAAAAAGCATCTCTCAATTGATATAAATACAAGTTATTGTCCATCACTCAAACACACACACACACACACACACACTGATGCACGTGTCTGCCCGTTTAACGAGAAGGTCAAATTTACCTACCACAAAGAAATCATGTCTTTATAAATAATTGGCTTCAAGCTTAAGCAGCGTGAATATAATTTAGGTAACTACTTTCTGTAGTGTTAACCGATAATATACCACTTCCACTGTTTAACACATCACTACACCACCTTCCGTTTCAAGTAGTCAACCCTTTAACTCCCATGAGTGACCAAAACAGAATTTCTCCTTACAATATCAATACAATATCAACCAGATAAGTGATGAGAATAAAGACAAATATCAATTTGGGAATAATTAGTTGATACAATACTAAATTCTCTGAACTAATTGTATGGTTGACAGTGAGGAGAATTACTATTTGATCAGGGAGTTAAAGGGTTAAGAAGTCGTCCTAACCTCACCTTACCTTGTCACGCTGTAACGTCATCTCACAGACTCCTTCTATGAGTGTACAACACCAGGATCAAGCAGCGCTCGAGTCATCTTCACCCTCCAAATAACATTTAAAATATTCCCTGATCCTGACAACTTCCCCAAAATATGTTTTGGTACGATGTCTCCTCCCGCTGTCATAAATTCATTTAAACCTATCTATAATTTATACGTGGCAATTTTTTTTCCAGATCCATAAAATTAATGTATACAGGTTCTCAAGTACACAGTACTCAGTATTACTATAAATGGAGTCGAAACACGATTTATCTGGGAAAGAAACGTGAAAATTACGGCAAATGGTTGTGAAAAAGCTTGCTAAAACTATTAAGCGATGTTGAAACTCTTCACCACTGAAATGGCACAAGGTTTTTTATCTACAGTGCTGTACTTCACTTATACATGATAACGTCGAGAACTCGTTTTAACGGAAAGTCCACGATGACTTCCGATGTCTTTCAAAAATACCCAGAGGGGAATTCTCATCGCTTTTTTTTATAAGTTCTACTTGAGATGAATTTAAAAATGAGACAAATAAAGACATCCTACAAACCTAACACACATACATCGAAATAAAAAGAATAGGGAATTTCACTTTTTTCACGTTTCTAATCCAATGATATTGATAGTTACTGTTCCCTTACGATCGACATGGTCATTTTTAGTTACTATCACTGTTATTGATATTACTATTTATATCCTATATACAAATTCATACAAAGGAGATGAGGATTCTACGAGTTCTCCCTAGTTCTCATCTTCCTCACGGATACCAAATACCCAGGAGGCCTGGAAGACAACACACAGACGAGTCAAGTGTGTTGGTTCCATACCTTTTCTCGGCATACCCCCATACTAACCCCTTCCCTTCAAACTAACATTTTCCTTGCGAACTCTCGCCGTTTCTCTTTTTCTTCTCATACTTCAGCAGTTGCCCCATGAAGTTGAGGTTTGGTGAGATCACCGGCCTAAGCTCTTTGACAAATTTATATGCGTCTCCCAAGCAAAGACCTTGCTGCTTCATGATGTAAGCCACTGTCACGGTGGCCGAGCGTGACACACCGGCATGACAGTGCACAAGAACACCGCTGCCGCGTTCTCGGGCTTCGTCTGTGAGGGAAACAAAAAAATGAAAAGAAGTTAGATTGGCTGATGTCATACTTGACTTGGCAGGCAGTTGGACTTTTAGGGATGTTTTGCCTCATTGTGCCCCTTTCACTTGGTGCGGCATAGTCACATTTTAACGTTGTGACATTTTTGACTTTTTGACTTATCGTAACATGTGAATTCGGCGTGACTTCGTTTACCCATCATGATGTCCTGACTCCAAGTGACATTTTGACTTACGGTAAATTTTAGCTTTTGGTGACATTTTGTCTTCAGGCGAAAGTTCGACTTATCGTGACATATACCTTGATGTGTCATTGTCGCCCTACCAACACCAGCTAATGAAGATGAAACAAACAGCCTTCTTTTTAAAGAGCTCTTCCGGCTAATGATACCAAAGGTTTGAACACTTCTGCTATCTGAAAACTTGCCCACTTTCAGCGCACGAGAGGCATTTCTCTGGTGCAATGGCCGGGGTGAAAATTGAGAACTTGCAATTGTGTCTTCAGCTGGTCAAGGCACAGAACTATCTAACTCAACAGTGGTCGTTTCCAGGACTTCACACTCGTCAAAGACCTTGACCGGGCGTGATTGACTACGACCAGCACGCAAAAGCGAGAGATCAGCGCGAATGACCTCCCTCTCACTTACGCGCGCCACATGGGATCTCCCGTGGGCGTGTTACTTGCGCTCCCACCTGGAGGCTTTCAGAAGAACTTTTTTCCGAGCAACTTACCAATAAACTGAATAGCTTCGTCGAAATGCTGTGCTATATCCTCCTGGTTCGAGTCGTTTACTTTAATCTGCCTATAATTAAGATCCGATCTGTGACTGAAAAAATTAGGACATCGAGGAGTCAGATTAAGGATGTACTTAATTGACAACCTATCAATTAGGGCTTCATCAGCCGCGCCTTCTTCGTTGCCAAGATACAGGTAAGGTAAGATGGCCGTCACAGGAGTTCCTTGGGGGCGACCTGGGCACGAACCGCATGTCGTCGGCGAAGGCGGGAAGTCGGCGACGTCACAATGGTTGACAGGGGCGTTTTCGCACAAGTTTTGATAATCTCTACAGAATTCTTTAAGCCCACCTGAAGAAAAAGGAAAGGAAAAAGGTCACCATCAGAGGAAATTAACTGTCACGACTCCACAAAGATTTTTGAGTAAAAGTCAAAGGTCGAACATAATCGACGATACCTAACAATTACTTCATTAAAAACCGTTAAAAAACATGGTCAGTGTTGTCAAATGTAGCATCAACATCCTCATGACTAAATTGCCATAATAGTGAGTAATCCGTGCATCTTGAAAATGTGTCCATCAAAACGATCTTTACAAAAAAACAAATGGATTGGAAATACTTCTGGAACATATAAAGGTGTCCTTTTTTTTTGGTATGAAAAGCACGCCACAGTCATAGAGCAGAGCAGAACATGACCCTGTCCTGAAACTTCCCACTCAGCGGGTACCAAACAAATGTGACCGGATGTCGATTTGACAAATTGACGCAAGGGTGAACCGGAAGAGAGTTTGGTCAGTCCACGGCTAGTCTTCCAAATGTGACCATTCAAAGACAGCAGTAGAGAATAGAACGCAATAAAAATCCAACGCAAAATTTAACCCATGCAGAAAAATTTCACGAAATACGTCCTGCGATTTAAGGCTTTCGCATTCCGTTGATCAAGACGGAAGTGGAACTGTCAAGTCGGAAAGCAGTTTGCCAAGTTGAATAGTTAGCGCGAGCGAAGCTGTAGAGCACACCAAAACGAGCCATATCTGCCTGCTTTGCGAAGTTTTTCCCCACAAAAAGCGATTGTGTTGTGGAAATCTTGCAGTCAAGTGGTCGCCGCCGAAATGGAACCACGGCTCGAAGCTATTGACTTTGATCACGCCACCCGTAATTTCAAAAACGAATGCAGTGTTATAAAGACAAGCTTTGTGTTTACCCGTAAGGTGCGAGCGGCGTCGTTGCAAAAGGCTTCGTGTTTCACAACAGCGCGCGGTCATATTTCGCTTCTTTGCTTTCAATGCAGCTCTGATGCTAGCCGGATTCGTCCAAAGACGGATAAAATTACAAAAACCAAACATACGTAAGGAAGAAAAGCGCCATTAGGTCATTGAGAAGACGAAAAGTGCAGGTATTACTTAATTATGACTTAACAATTACAGACTTTGTTGCTTGGTTTATTATTTTCCAGGGTTACGCACTGGTGGTCCATTGCCATAAACACCTGTGGTTAGCTATTTCAATTATCACTGCACAAACGACAAGACGGAAGCCCGCTTCAAGTTGAACCATTCGTGTTTGTAAAACATTCTAGCGATGGATGACCAAAGAGAAAATAACAAAAAGGGGAAGAATTACAGAAAAACTCTAGTAAAGACGAGTGGTTATTGACAGTGACTGGCAAGCGACGAGAGCAAAGCCATCCAAATGTTCGCCTAACGTCTTGATTTGACGTCTTGAAACCATGCTGGTTCTGTGGACCAGGCAGAATTTCCTCTGAAAAGCATTTTCATTTCCTTAACAGCAAACTCAAAGCAAAAGATACCGAATTTTGACGACACCAGCAAAACTTAGCAAATATTCAATCAACTTCACCTCGCGACCCTACGGCGAAAACTTGCGGACAAAAAAACAGGAAACATAAAAAATAACCGTTTCTATTGTCACATAGTAGCTGCCGCAAAACAGCAAAACATGGCAAAGATTAACAAAAAAAACAATATTACATAATTTATGTTAAAAGAAAATCGACACAACTCTTAAATCCTATCGGTAGCATCTTAGCTACGACGAAATCACTTGTTTTGCGATCAGGAAAACTTCCTGAAATACTGAACGCATGTACTGAATATAGCAGGAGACGAAACACCAAGATCCTCATCACATCAACTCCAATAACTAGAAAAATTGTGATTGCTATCATTTACAAACAAAACAAGTAAATCATAACCTGACGAATTAAATAGTTTTATAAAAAATATCGCGTTTTTTAAACAAAAAAAAATAAACACTAGTACCCGGTAATTTTCAACAATTACAATCAAAACAATTTTATCATAACATTTAGATTTACCCGAGAAGTAGTTTTCCACTCAGTAAACTTCTTGCTAAAAAATTACCTCTTGCATTTCCGTCTCGACCCCGCCGTCTTAAGGTCTCAGACGTTAGAAAACTTGGCACTTTTACTTGGTTACAAAAACCCGAGCATTCTTTTTGAAAACAAACTGCGTATGACCCTCGGTTGGAGAGCGCGTCAATCTTTGATCCTTAAACCGACCCTCTCGACAAACCATGTACAGGCCGGCTGACCTTTCATTTACTGTCTGTTTCAGCAACATGAACAAACCGAAAGTCCAGAAAGGATAGTCAAATATAGGTCACAAAACATTAATTCTAGAAAATTTTTATAACATGACTCCAATTGAAGTTACCACACCAATTTACACAACCAATGCACGGCTGTTGACAATTAAAACTTTTTTTTTTTTTTAAACAATTGCTTTTAATTAAATTATCTCTTGGAAAGAGAATTTTCTTTGAAAACAAGTAATTACTTTTCTAACAATTTTTCCACCTATTAGAGGTTTCTTAGCACAAAACCTGTAGAGATTGGTAGCCCCTTAGGAAAATTTCATTTGGAGTAGACAATGTCAAAAACTTCTTGCACTGAAAAGTAAAAACAGTTACTTATTCCTAAAGACAGATTTGACACAAGTTTCAATTATACAATATATCATAAACCTTATTTATAAAATAACTAGTAATCAGGTTATACATGAAAAACTTTACATTGGATTAAAAAAATATTTGGTCACTTTTGGCTCAATCGATTTGAATTATGCAACAAAGATACTCTTTTTGGTACAAAAACTCACCAAAAGATTTCTTTAGTGGTAAATTCAAAGGTGCTGAGGAAAGAATCCTACAAGGCATCTCAAACACCAATGGCTCCTTGCTCAAATTCTGGGCTCTCAGTTGACTTAATGAACCCAGCAAACTTAGACTACTGACACAAATGAACCACATAAGTCCACTTTATTGATGGTGAAATATCAAAAAGGTGAAGTCAGTGCTGATGTGATAAACTGCCCTTCAGTGGTCCGCATCGACCAGGACAATATGGGGGCATGATAAGAGAATTATCGCCCTCTTGCATCATATCGAGGTCTATGCAAACCCTGACACAAATTCCAAATAGGAAACTCCTGAAGAGTCTCAATACACTTTGCCCAATGCTTGTTTTACTTCTGTAAAACTCTTTATGACTTTAAATTTGCCTGATTAGAAAGCAGTTCATAACAAGTGTGACTCAACAACACACTAACTTCATTACCACAGAACCTGCAGATTTTATGGGTCAGTTGAAATAAGGGGAGACAATGAAGGAAATTAAGTGACCCTTCAACCAATTACAAGAGTCAACCGTAATCCGTTAAGGAAACATCAGTTAATAATAAATGAAACCTCAATCTAAGACAAAAGTAGTTTTGACTTTGAAACATTTTAGTACATTTTTGAAAAAGAAATTTAGATTTCAAATTATATAAACAAAGCTAAAAAATTGGTTACTCAAAAATTTCTGAATCTAACAACAGGAATTACCTTTTTTTTCTACATAGGTTTAGTGACCTCTTAAGTCACTTAAATTCAATATTGTTTCCAGTTCAATGACCATGGTACTACCACAGATGCAAATATTTTTGGGTGAATCCTCGCAAAGCGTAGAAAACAGAGGACCTCGAAACTTTTTAAGCTCAAGATATTATCAATCTGGTCAACAATCTCACTGGAAAAAAAGGAAGTTTAGTACATCGAGAGCTAGATGCCTTCTCAGTTCCACAACAGAGTCTAAAAGCAGAGCATAAATACCAGAGGTCACTAACTGTTGTCATGAAGCAACTTATAAAACTTGGTAACTCAGAATTCTGAGACATGAGCTTTCAGACACCTAATGATTTTTCTGTGAGATCAACCTTAACATCTCTGGGAATAAATTTAAATTTAAAGAAAAGCATTTGTATAAATCAAAATGAGAGATTTAGAAGTCTAAAATAGAGGAAAATGTCAAAATATCATCTTTCTAATTAAATTCACGCTTGACTTAGACCTGTGCTATAATGAAACTGAAATCAGTTAAATTTTGTGTATGAAACAAGTAACTGATCACACTAAGTAATCATTTCCTTCCAATTGTGATATAATGGCAGAAAAGTCAAATCAGCGGCTTAGAGGGTAAACATTTAAAAGCAAAAAAGGACTTAATATGCCGTACAGTATTTACAATACAAGAGATTTCTGAGTAATTAATCATCAGAAAATTTTCTAACGCAATATTGACTCTTAATGAAGCATAAAGCTCAGTTTTAAATTTTTCTTAAGAGGTAAATTCTTCCAAATTCTATCAAAAAAGTTCATGAATGGCAGTAACAAAAATTGTATCTTGAAAATATTAAATTGATTACATAACATGCATTTGCTGAACTAAGCATGATTCAGCATAAAAACTGTAAGGAACAAGGAAATTTGAAGACAGGAAATAGAAAGAAACTAATAAATTTGGATCTATAAACAACATGACAAGGCAGAAATGAGTTATTTTACAAAGGTCTCTTTCTGTTAGGAACCTCTCTTGACCAAAACAGAAAATATCTTATATAATAAGAAACACCAGTCAATAAATAGTTTTTTGCTGAATATTGCGCAACTAATTAGGAACACAATATCAGTATTAGGTAGGTCCATAATGTAAATGCCAACAATGGACATTTCAACATATTTATCAACCCTTCATTTGATCATTTCTATTTATGAAGTAGTCAAAGTTAATTTGCAAACACTTGAATTCTTTGTGAGAAAACAAAACACAGATCATCAGAAATAAAAGAAGTTGAGTATAGTTGCCTAAAATACAAACTGACAAGGAGTAAAACGAAATTAACTTTTTCATAATCCATTACTCTTTCGAGTATATTAAGAATGCTATGCATTTACTAACTTCAAAAAATCTTGATTTCATGTCCATACAAGATTTTTAAAACTGCAGCAATTAAAATATTTGAGAAGTTTTGAATGCCATAATGCGTATTCCAGTGACTCAATGAAGGCGAAAATTGTCAAAACTCACTGCAGCATAATCTTCGATGCCCATGCTAATTCTTTTCATAGCTTATGCGCTAGGTCATCAGCACCTAGCTTTATAACACGCAAGGCATACCACGAATTCGGGATTAGATTGCAATCAGAGTTCTTTCGTAAGTAGCGTTGCATGACAAAACAAAAGCATCTTTCAGACGAACTGAGGTGTTTTCCCCTTGTTTTCTTAATCTTAGATTAGATTTCGCCGATCGCCATAAATAAGATCAAACAGGATATGCTGAGATATATTTCTCTTAATGAATCAAAGGAAAATCGCACCGAACAATATTGCCGTACTAAGCAACTTTCCATTCGGAATATTTAAGCTTTTGCGTTCCCCTATCATCTGGTATTTTGATCCAAAATAAAAAAGTTTTCGTTTTCTTTTTAAACAAAGAAATTGTTTCGTGTCCCCCCGAGAGTACATGCCGAGAAAATGCCAACGTCAGTGGCCTTATTTCCTGTTCAGATAAACAAAGAAAGGCCACAGAATACGAGCGCTGAAGAGAAAAGCTGTTTCGGTATTTGACCACTCACAGAAGCCCAAATCTGCGTCACAAGAGTTCTTGCCGTGACCACTCATCTACCGCGGTTGAATGATCGCATGCACACAAATTTCAACAGCGGAGGTGACATAGCTCGCTACCAATATCATAAAAATAACGAAGGTCGCGTCTCTTGAAACCAAAACAGTGACTCCAGACAAAATCGGAAACTGCGTCAGGATTGAAAAATCGTCTTAGCGCGAGCCTATTTCTGTTGACTGCCATTGACATAAAAGCGCGGAGAACTAAAACTCTAAGCACTACGGTTAAACACAAATCACACTAAGTAAATATTAAAACAACAGAAAGTGTCATGAGCAGGACTTACCTTTTAGCACCGAAATATTTCTCCCTTCTTTTAAAAGATTTTGTAAAACTAAGCAAATGGGACGACACGGATTGCAATCTTCGGGATCACTTGACAACTCATCGTAGATAACAAAGGTTGTTCCCACTCCACCACGGATAAACTTCTCTTTGCCCTCAGCTGAAGAAATCAAGTCTTTTAGTTTAGCCTTGCCTTGTGAAAGTCGCTTACGCCCTATTCCAGTGCAATTCACATGGATAGCTCCTCTTATGTGTAGTCCGTTAAAAGCTACTAGCGATCTACAGTCAACAATAAGAATTTCTGCCGAATTACCCGCTCCACCATTATCAATGCTTTGAGCAAGTTCAGTTGACGAGACACTCTTCCATTTTCCACTGCTCATATCTGAGGATCGATTCACACATCCAACTTTCGACTGAGTCGGTCTTGGTCCCAAAAGAAGAGGAGGCATTAAGACAAAATTTAGATTACAAAAAACAAGGAAACCAAATTCAAACGCACGCTTCGCTCAGACAGCTGCCCGCGTACAAATTTGGCTTAAAGCAGTCTCTGTACACGTGTAGTAGAAAATATCCGAAACAAATTGTGTCCAAAATAAAACAACGTTTTCTCTGCCTTGAATATTTTCAGCCTTCAGGCCGAGTGAGGAACAGTCCTTTTCGCTTTCGAGAGATTTAGGGATTGTACTACACCTTTTTGCATAGCTTGATGTGAAACATAGACTGCAAAAATAGAACATTCAAAAGATAATAATGATGTCATCCACAGCCAATGAAATCATGATTTTGAATAGCAACAAAATAATTCGTACGAGTCATCCCATATATGGTTCGTGCACTATTACGTAGTCAGCGAAGGTCTCCGAACACCTACGAGTCACTCCTCACGAGAACTAACGAAGGTCCATGCGGAAAAGAACGTTTGATTACTCTAAAAATAATTATTATCCGTGGGTTGAGCGTACTTCCGCGGGTTGTAAACTAGGATCACGTCTTCCAAACATTGCATCAAAAAATCATCAGAAGATCGGGAAATCTAGGGACTGTTCAATCGACGGAAAGATTTGTTACTACAGCGGCGAAAAATCGGGCACAGAAAATTATAAATCATGTTTTTTTTGTCCGCAAATGCCAATATCGTTAGTTTTTGCTAGCATTTTCTCGAGTAAAAAAGCGTAGGTCGGTTTGTAAGCAAAAGCTGGTTTCCACTCCTTAAGGCGAATTCTTAATGTTCTCTTACAGGGCGTAAAGAATCAGAAAATAGACTTTGGCGCATAATTTCTTTCATTCGTCATTTATGGAGGTATATTGATTAGATGTGTCAATCAGCCATTTTAACACGTACAGGTCAAGGAAGCAACAAGTTTGTTGGAGTTTGTATACAAACAGAGACATGTCAAAGCCGATGTTAGGTGAAGTAATTCCTAAAATTAACCTAATTGCATTATAAACAGCAACAAAGTATCGAAATTTTTCAATTCATCCGAGAATTTGTTAACACAGTTTAGATTGGGGAATATCTCTATTGTTATAAATAACTGTGCAGGCAAAGTGACTCTAATCCCCTAGCGTTGAAGAAGATTTAGTTCGCGCACAATTTTTGATTTTTTTTTAGTTAAATACCTTTTTTCGTCATTGTGTCACATTCAGAAGCTGTTAAATTGGTACAAACTTGCCGTGCTCACGATCTACTATTTCCGTTCAACATGTCTTTGTCAACAGAAAACAACTCGCGTGCTTTGTAAAAGATTAAAAACCAAATGTGTTTGCGAACCGAATGTGTTTTCGAAAAACCACTTTAATTAGAGAACGCTTTTAAGAAAGAAATTAAAGTTGTATCATAGCCATAAATAAAAAGACCCTGACTTGACTTTGACCTCGCTGCAGAAATACGAGAACTGTTAAAACCATAAGCGGAAAAATGTTCCCATGGATACTGTATTAATCCTGGAGATCAATTTTCTGACAAGGAATAAAACTCTACGTCTTAAAACTGAAAGTATAAACAGGGAAAAAGGAAATCTTTGACGCTTAGCCCTTTCATTTTTAAAATCACGCTCGCTTTCCTCGTTGGCCATACGTGCACGTGGTCGGCACGTGGGATGTCACGTCGGGTAACGGGGAAATCACTTTGGAAGCGGAAAGCAAATTAGTGATGCGACGAAGCAAAGATCATTTGGAAAATCAACGAACCTGAACTGTATAAGGTCCAAGAGAGAATACATGCATAGCTCCTGTTTATTCAAATGTTCTATTTTTAGCGGTGAAACTGCCGAGTTGCCAAATCAGTCATGCTGACCCCCACTTTTAATTTCTTGATGCTTTTTATGTAATAACAGGAATTTAGTCTTCGTCGGAGAGCTTGTAATTAAGAAAACGTTCATTAAAATGTTTAAATGTAACGCTGAAAATCTAGGTCTTTTAGGAATTGCGAATTATTGTGGCGCTTTACCAATGCTCGTGCTCGGTTGCTCGTGGAAGCGCAGACATTGGGATTGAGAGTCATCGTTTCCATAGAAACATTTTAGACAGAAAGACAAAATGGCGACTTTCGTGAGACTGATGGAATCAAGGGGAAAAGTTGTCGATCAGTTATTCGAAAATAAGAGGTTAGATTAGTTATTTGAAGCTATAAGTGTGTCGTTTACTTATTATTCTATTTTCAGCTTCTTTTCAATATAACTACTCACGTTCAGTTTTGAATTTTTTCAACAACATTTTGCACCGTAGTATTTTTGCTCTCCAGTGTCGTGTTATTTATTTATACAGTAAGGTTTATTGGCGAAAGATTTCGGCGATCTGTTACCGATTAATATATTATTTTACCGTAAATAGTCCTGCTCTGTCGGAAGAACTTAAGCTGTTGAATTGTTTCGATGTTTTAGTACAGTTTGCGCGCAAGCAACAGGTATTCAAAACATGTTTCTCTCGCTAAATATTTGACATGAAAAACACTACACTGTTTAAATAGCATTGCGGTAATTCACTCATGGTGTTTCGCTACAGCCATCCATCGACGTTAATCACTTATCAACGCATACAAGGATCATTATAAAAAATAACAATATGTCAACTTTATCATTTCCATACCAATTTGTTGTTGAATTTGCAGAGATGCCGAGGATCACAGAAATAAAGAATTCCTGGCTGCGCTTAAAATCCAAAGTTGGTTTAGAGGAACTAAAGTTCGAGCTTACTTGAGGTAGGACCTGTGCATGTTAAAGAACTGCACATTCCTTTGTATATATGTTCTAGTAAAATGCTTCTCCAATGATGATTTTAGGAATTTGCTACGTTGCTTCAGCCCCTTTTCCCATGGAAAATAATTGGGCATCTATATCTGTCCCTTTTTCCCACTAGCTATGAACCAGCAAGGAAGACTTCCACACTGCTTGTAAATGTCTCAAACTCCCAAAAGTGATTAACATTTAACTTCTCCCTATTATATTCGTTACATTTGCTAGCAAACAGGTAATGAGAATTCCTAAGCAAATCAGGTAAATGTTGTTATCTTGACTTAACACCAAATTCTTGTAGCTAAATTACAGAGAAATGTGTAGCAGCTAGAAGGGAGAATTTTCAATCAGATCTTGGAGTTAAAGGGTTAACCTTGTTGTCTTAAGGGTGCAAGGACTATTACCTAATTGTCTCAAGCTATGTCTTATCCAGAAATCAAAATGAGGAAAAGTATTGTACACTAGATCATTCATCACTTCCTTCTTTAACCCATTTAACTCCCAAGATCTGATTTTCAATTCTCCTCTCTAGTTAATAAACATTTCCTTATAAATTAGGAACAAGAATTTGGTGTTAGATCAAAATAACAACTTCTACTTGATATGTTTGAGTATTTTCATCACCTGTTTTCTGGGTAATGTATAGATAAGATAGAGAGAGGTTGCAGGTTAATCACCTCTAGGAATTAAAGGGTTTATTCAAGTATTGCATTGGAAATTATATTATTTGTCATTGTTTAATCATGCCAATCTGAAAAGTTAAAACATTGCACATATATTTTTTGCTGCAGATTTCTCCATTATTGTGCCACCACAGTGCAAAGACATTTCCGGGGACACAAAGGCAGAGAAATATACAGACAGATTGTACAGGTTAGAAGATTTATAATGAAGCTCTTTTTTCATCATTGTTGTTTATGAAGTAAGACATTGGCTAAGATAATATGTATCTATTGACTGAGTGGAGGGAATGTATAGATAAAAATTTGGCCCAAGAGCAAGCACAGCAAGGTCTTTGCATTGTAACCTCTAAATTTTCATTCCATGGTAGTGTCAATCAATCAAAGTTTAGAACATCAAGGGGGTATTGTATCAAATCTGGTCAAAGCAACATATAAATTTTGGAACCAGAAACTGACTAGGCTGAATTATGCAAGACTTGAATATTGGTCTTTGAGGTATAATCCTCTTTAAAAAAGTAGAACTTTAATACTTAAGAAAATTTGTAGACATCTTTGATTTAAGAATTTGACAAAAAACTTACTCTTTTGTTAGGAAAAAGTAGCCATGATGCGCACTGATTTCTTTAACAAGCAAGCAACACTGGTAAGTGAAAGACAAAGCTACAGATGTTATTTTTTGGTGACCCTCCATTTATTTCTAGTGAGGGCTTTTTATTTAATGTTATAACTGAGAACTTGTACACTTTTTTCTTTCAGATTCAGAAATTATGGAGAGGTAATTTATGCTCTGATGTGAATCACGAATAATTTAATGATGTGAAATAAAAAGTTTTGTGTGATTTATGTCACCCTTCCCTCTGAAGTACAACTTACACCAACTTACTTTGAAACTTTTTTTTTTTAATGTAGGTTATTATGTTCGTAAATATATCTACAATTACTACAGTCGTAAGAGGTACTTGGAAGGAGTTGTGATCAAGAATGAAGTAGTTCGGTGAGAGAGCTTACCTTGTAACTGTTTCCTCCTAGTTTTGGTAATTTTAGTGTAGTTTAACCCTTTAACCTATAAGAGTGACTAGTATATAAATTCTCCTTGCAATATCACCCCCAAATCACACATTAAGGTAATGAGAATAAAGGAAATGGTCACCAACTAAAGAAACTCTGGATTATGAAACAAATTCTCCACATCAACTCCTTAGGAAATATATACAGAACAGTATGGAGAATATGCATACTGATGTTGGGGTGGGAAGGGTTAACTCCTATAAGTGAGTGACCAAGACACAATTTCTCTTTACAGTATCAATACAATGTCAACCAGATAACTGATGAGAATAAAGAAAAGAAGGTTATTAATTGATCCAATACTAAATTCTCCAAACTAACATCATAAGAATTGTATAATGACAGTAAGGAGAATGATTAATGAGATCTTGGGAGTGAAAAGGTTAAGTGATTGGGAATATTAAGTTACTCCTGGAAAGTCAGTGCTACAACTGTGCAAATCATTGAATTCTGAAATGGACCTTTAGTTTTTCTTGGCATCATGCTCACTCTCTCACGCTGACCTCTTGGCGCATTCTCTTGTGTTGATGTGAGCTTTTTGTCATTCCTCTGTGCAAGTACAGAAATTCAAGATTGTACTGTTATGCACAGTAGTTTAAGTTAGCCTTGTGATATTATGTGTATGTGTTACAAAAGAAATTTTTAAGCAAATATTGATGATCTCTAATGTTTTATCCATGGTTTCAGGAAAGAGTTGGAGGAGTTTGCTCTTAAATCAACACAAGAAAAGGAACGGAAAAGGGAAA